AACAAAAGCAAATATCACTGAAAATAAAACAAAAGGTAATGGAACATAATGATACTTCATAATGAATGTAAGTCGAAGTAATTACAATTTGATTCAATTGAAAGAAAGAAATAAAGAAAGATTAAATTATACTAATCGAGAGATCTGCGATTACCTTCTGTGCTTGTAGAGAATTCAATTCTCTTTCCAATGGATTACTTGGCATTGACCGATCAAATTTCTGTTCCAGCACTTTTTCCATTTCAATCGCTTGCAAAGGCATTATTTTTGCTACTGAGGGTTCATTTTAAGTTACAATCTCGAAAACTAAACAATGAATTTTCCTGAAACCTTCTGTGCTTGTAGAGAATTCAATTCTCTTTAATGAGATTTTTCAATACTTACAAGATTTCATGAGGAGTTTTGTGCAGATGAACTAGAGAAACGTATGGTTCCGTAGTTCACTCACAGATTCAACGTAATCATGAGGTGCAAAATACAGGCAATTTAAATGGTGATTTTCGGTGGTTTCTGTATATCAGTTGATCAAAGTAGTAGGCAACTAATTACACAATTGATGTTTGGATATCTTTGGAATTGTTTCGTTTTGAAAATCTTTGAAATATTTTAAATAGGTGAAATTCACTTGAGATCGGAGATGAGATGCGGAAACGTTGAAGAAACACATAAACTTTGAACTTCAACTCATATGGATATCAACACCTCTGTTGCAAGATTCTGATGTTAATATCGAAGTCCGATAAGGAACAATAAGGCGTTGGTGGCGTGTGCAAATGAATGACATTCTTTTAGTTCCGTCATTTATCTATTTGGAACAATAACAAATAACTGCGCAATGTTACCAAAAATTGTAATCAGAGGAAAAAACATTATTAACATCTATTAACAATCGAAATCGTTTAAGACATTGTCGCATAATATATTAACACCAAAAAACTTAAACCATTCACAAACGAACATCTGATTCGACGAATCAACATTGTGATGACAGCGGACAAATTAAAAATTAATAACATATTGCATTTTGAATAAACAACGCAATACGACGATTCAATTGTGGATGGATCACATAATAAATCCTCATCACACGCAAATGCAATATCAACATTTGTAAACGTAACCTTCAAGACGTCTTTTTTTCATCACAAATCGTAAAATGAATTTTACATCTCCGAAATGTTTTATGAAATTGTTTTATGAATGTGAAATTGCCATAGAATTCAGCCTTCAAACGTTTTTCTTGTGTTCAACATTCGACAACTTCCCAGCCTAATTTTGACTCGTTGTAAGTTCACGAATTGACTCACGACTCAGAAGACTCTTCACAAAACTGATGAACATATGCAATAGAAAATTTACTAAAGTACACAGGTAATAACTGATAAGCACAATCAAATGGACCAAACTGTAAGTTATATTATTCTAACGAAAAATAGTCTTAATGAACTGCAACTCAAAACGAGCTTCTTCAAAGCAAATAACAACGTTCTCCGCTTTGAAAGGTAATCACAGAGCAAGATGACTTTCATGCGGATGCATCACAATGATAAATGATAAATCTGATCATTGATAGTTTCTAGCTGACCATATTGTGGATGCATTTTTATAAATCCCAATACACCTAATGAGCGTACAATTTGCTCTGTAATCAGAGATATTAAACGAATACTAACTGATATCATAAGTGGAATACAGGATTGTCTATAACGAATTGCTCAAACACACACAATATGGAAGGATTATATAATGTCAGTTATCATATTATCACAGTTCAACAAAGAACACACATGAACAAGTTGATATCAGCCTCGTTTTAAATGAGACCTCATTCTAAGCAATCATAACGATAACGATGATAATAATAATAATGAACAATAATCATCAAGAGGATAACAAAAAAAGAGTAATCATACGATCAACAAACTGCCGATGTCGTGATTATAATGACGGAAATAAATAAATCAATCTCAGAACAACGAACCTCCAGTCAGACTGGCAGTGTGTGAAGCAATACGAGAAAATATTTCGCGAACATCAAGTGCAAATGATGACTGCACGAAACATTTCACACTGACAATATTCAAGGATCATTACATCAACTGACAGAATATTTTTGTTCCTTTCGATATTTCCAATAAATTATTCAAAAAGAATATTCAATCGACTAGCAAATACAAGCAACTACATAATAACATTCAACCACTATATAACAGAATCTGATATTCAGTGAAATAAACTGGGATTTCACAACGAATCGAAAACATTTCAACGGATCATTCTATCGCTTCCGTCTCTCAACAGTCAAGATGAAATCTTGCGAGGCTTCCTAACAACTGAAATGCATGTGCGTGAAAAGATCGTTTATGAGAAGTTCCCATCTATATCTATAACAATAATAATCGTAGTAATTATGATTATAATATTGATAAGAATAATGAATAAAAATAATGACACCACCAACACTAAAGAAAATAAAATCGCAGTAATAAAGCAAGAGAAGAACAAAAAGAAACCAAATGAAAAATGAGCAATTGTTGGTTCAAAGAAAGGAACACAACAGAACAGAACAATAAGACAGAACAATAATCAGATTCCAATCGTATTTATATCATTCTGCTCATCAGAATCAAGCTACCAATGACAGCCATCCAAATCAAAATGAACGCATTCGAGTAAAACTCTGAATATCTATGCATTATCAAATATGTATAGACGACAATACCTATAAATGAAAACAAACTTCTTAAAAAACATTATTTACTCACTACACAATAAAACAATCCAATAATGGAATCGCATTTCACAAAAACACCGAATCCAAAAACAACTCAAAATCAAATGTTTTTTTTGTAAAAATTCGCTAAACGAAATCAATCCCTCGCTAAATGTAATAAAATCATATGTTAAAATGCATAATCCGTCTTCTAGTTCAACAAATTCGATTTCCCATTAATCTTCCAGTACGCCTAGTCATCATTCATTGTTACTACTATTTCTGTATTTAAAAAGTACACAAAATAATCACCTCACCATCAAAAAGAAAACAAATTACCAAACAAAAGATCTCCGAACTGATCACAAACGTTGCTTACAAATGCTGAGACTAAATGTGTTGACGAGCTGAGTTGAATAACAACTCAAACACACATTTACTATAATAATCATCATCATTATCAACCTTCGAGCCAATAATACGTATCATAAAATCAAAATCGAATTAAAATTAAATTCACTTCTGGCTCAACCGTAAATCTGCTGCAGTTTCATACAACTCGGTAAGGTCATTTGCTGTGCTCTACTCCACATACCCGCATCGCCAAGTGCTCTTGCTCGCCACTCCAGTGTTTCTTCTGCAACAAAATTTTTCTTTTAGACGAAAACGCTTTTCTTCGTTGATTCAAACCAAAAATGGCGCAAACTTTAATTTACATATTCACAAATTCAAACGAATTCTCAATCAACGACAAAAATATCCCAAGCAAATTCAATCCGAAGTCAAATCGTAACGTATAATCTGAATTGAATTTCACACCTCAATGTCATCCCACGACAAAAAAAAGGTTAGCGAAGCGATAAAATCGTATAGATAATAAACAACTAACTTGAACTACGCTCTCGATAACAACTCATCTTCAACTGCGATATGTAATCATCTTCAACCTGACGTTCCACTTGCGACAGTCGATTACGATAATTACTCAAAAAATCTGTCTTCACATAGTACGGAACTCGTAGATCCTTTGTGAAACGCTCTTCAGAATATTTCCTGCAAACCGCCACACAATACTTTCTGTAAACCTTGAACAAAACCAATTCCTCGTAAAAGCTGCCGAATCGTTTGACTCCACTCTTTGAATTCAACCTCGTTAGATCATCCAAAAGATCGTAAATGACATTGACAAAACACAACCAAACAATAAATAATACTCACGAATCACGGTTCAATTGGAATGCTGGATCACCGACCATCAGTTGCGCAATGAAACCCAAAAGAAGAACGGCGAACAGTGGTAACAGTTGTAGAATCGGACCGTATGGTGACTGTAAGTTCGCTCATTTTTCATTAACAAATCCAAAATCGAATGAATCAATTCTCAAAAATCTCCGCTGTGCGCTGTTCATGTCACAATAATTGCCCTAAAACTGCCTCTCAAAAAGAAAATCGTTTGTTATGCGGAGAGAGGAAGGAAAGGATGCATATCATTCGCCATTTGCTGGCGGATCCACAATCAAAATCAGCTAACAGACATTCCTCTCAATACCAGTGCGTCATCTTTCATCTTGAGAAAATGGGAACAATGTGCATTAAGAACAATACGCACTACTTAACATAATACAAACAATTGCAAAAAGTTTATAAACCTGTTCTTGTTGCGTTGGGTGTGCGTGATGGAAATGTGTTTGAGTATGACGGAACCTCCTGTTGAGATCCGATGATGGATACCCACCACCGAAGAACATATTGAAGATCTCTTCTGGTGTGAATTCGGCTGTAATTATTGCAAGAAAATGTGATATCATTTAAACAAACACAGATGAGGCTCATTATATTTTATCATCATACGAAACAATACAAACAAGCAGTTGGAGAAAATAGAGAAATGCTGAATTACATTTACACACGTAATCGAAATTCACTTTATAAATCTTCATCTGGTTTTTGATTGTGTGGGCCGTAAAAGACGAGAAATAATAAAATGATGAACCTTCAAATCCTCGTCCATAATCGTATTCATAAAACTCATTATCATTGTTTCGTCGTCGTGGGCCATCCGCTCCGTACAAATCATACTGGGCTCGTTTTTCTTTATTCGACAAAACTGCGTACGCATTGCCTAGTGCTGAAATTCAACTCAATATGTTACTGCATCGAATACTTCTCACTTTCAAACTATTCCAACTACCGGACTCTTCATGGATATCTGAACCTGATATAGTTACTAAACCAGCAGCAAACAAGTCTTGCAATAATCGCAAAACAAATGTTGAATCACACCAGAAACTTGATGCGATCGATGTTTATTTAGAGCACTACCCAATTGTTGCTTTGAGCATTACCCTTACGTTACAAGATGAACAGAAATAAAACAGTATAATAATGCAATTCTGTGATACAGTTAGGATAATATACACACCTTTGAAAGCTTCTGTGGCTCCGGGTGCGCGACATTTATCAGGATGAAGTTGAAGTGCAAGCTTACGATACTCACGCTTCAGTTGAGACTCAGTCGCGTCTTTTTTCAAATTCAATATTTCGTAGTAATCTTTACAGTGACGAATTCTGCAATGCATTTCATGTTAACATCGATTAGATTTATTCAAACAACAAAACATATTCATCACCTTAACTTAATATAAATTTGTCCTTAACGTAATTTCACGCATTATTCTGAACCAATATTGTCTTAAAATGAATGTGTAACATTTCAACCATAACTTTCAAGTAAAAATCACATCTCTTGATTAACTCATTGTGAATGATAAAGCAGGTAATATTGCCCAACTCATAAGATAACTAGCAAGTTACATGAAAAAATCACACCTGTCCACAGTTGCGGCTTCTTCCTTCGTGTAATGCACACCAAGTACGGCTCTTCCAGCCGATCGGGATCGTGTTCTCTTCTGTTCAGTGCTGCTTGACGAACCTTCATCTGCTAAAAATGATTCTCACTCAATTTTCAATGACTTGAGAATAAGTCACTGAGTATAAAGGGCTGATTCATACCTCCATCAGGGCATCCGCGTTCGGTTGTATTCATTGACGGTTGACTACGACTTGGGTGAAATTGTGAGGATGATGATTTTCGTCGGCTGCGTACCTCTGATTCCTTCTCATACTGATCATAATGACCATAACCGTTTTCGGTTCCGGTGGGATTCGAATCTTTTGATTCGTCTGAATCCTGGTTCATGTGCTTTGCTTTTTCTAGCAAATCTGCAACAAGTTCGGGCGTTTTACGAATGCGAAAGGGTTTAAGAGAATGATGAACCGAAAGCTGAAAATCAGAACAGAAATAGATATGTATAATTCGTTTTATTCTAAAAGAAACGGTAGGAACTTGAACTAACATCGTATATCTGAGGATGGATCTAATTTAACGGCTTTGTGCAAAAATTTGATCGCTTTCGAGGCATCATTCGAACGCAGTGCCTCTCGGGCTATGTCCATACACCGTTGTGCTTCTTGTCGATTCGCCTCCATGCCTCCTGAATGTTCAACTGAATTTATCAAAAAGCTTGTGGCTGAACGCTAGTTAATAATCGGTCACAAAATTCTGATTGTATTTCTTATCGCGGAATAGAGAATGTTTTCCTTTATCATCATGAAGACTAGAGCTTGTAACTTCTGTATTCATTCAGTAACGCTGAACCATTAGCAAACATGGTCTTTGATCGCTGAATGAGTCTGCATAACAACGATAGATCAAATTGCGATATCACAACACAATATCTGAATGAAACGATCAACGACATATCAGAGCATTCGGGTTGATCATGAATACTTCATGATTTCTCAGAACGTTCGCTACAGTTCTACAGATCAGTTCCAGAGATTAGTGGCTTGACACGAAAAGGAGACAAATAAAAGTAATGATTTACTGCAATAGCAGAGAGGTGCTTATGCAAACGATAAAATAAAAGTGTTCATGAGAATGAGGTGATGACATTTCGATTCCTTGCAGGTTTCTTCGTATGAATAAATAAAAAGTGCTTAAATTGAAAACGATCAATAACATCGGTATGCAAAACGACGATAAGATGTTCAGAATTTAATGATGTAACATATGAAATGCTTTTCATTTTCACTGGAGAACATCCAACGAATTTTGGGCCGCGAACCTTTCGCTGAAAGTTCATTTAGCCTTGAAATTAGCGAATTCAACAGCGTTGCTCATAACAGTACTATTGGGAAAAAACGAGAAAGCTTTGAAAAGAGAGTTAATGAATATTCTGATGAGTTGTGATGGTTGATGAGATAAAGGCATCGGAGAATTCAATGACACCAAGAATACAAACTAATCAAACACTAGTTCTTGACGTTCTATTAGGCGATATTCAGATGGGCATAGATCGAACAGATGAGACAATAGCTTAGGAAGGGAAATACCCGTTATTAATAAAAGTATTATTTGGATATAAGAGTACGTACATCTGCAGAATTAATCAAGAAAGAACGCTAACTCAATGATTTAACTTAAGAATATAAGCATCTACCTATAAATTTCGTAAGATTCAGTCTGATAATGTAACAAACTCTGATAAAAGTATATAAATCTTTTTCGGAAAAATACAGCTCAACAATAGGATTTTGCAGGTTAATAAACGACTTCTGATGCTTCTCACTTATAGTGAACTCAGGTCTTGAGAGATATTCATTCATCCTTTTCATCTCCATATTAAGTTGAGTGGCATCATTATCAGTATGCATGTTTGTCGTGTAGATGCGTAATTCCATTGTAAAATTACAAAAATTCGACTGTGGTCGGTCTGTTTCTTAATTTGTCTGTAATTTTGAATGAAACGAGTCTGGATGCGCAGAATTAGGTTGCGAGGCTTTCTTGATATTAGTGGGTCACAGAAAGTTTCTCCCGTATCGTTTCGGTATTGAAAACGGTAAGGGAGAAAACGGTGTTTATGTGTCTGTTTGGAGGAATCTCGTTTTGTGACCATTCCCAGCCGCAAATCATTGTTTTGATGAATAGTGGAACATCGAAACATCGGAATGAGACTGATAACCGTAACCATATGTAGATATATATGTTTGTACAGATGATTATGAGCAGAGTGAAACTGGTTTCGCTAACAGAAAAGCTTTTATGCATGTGTGCACATGATGAGTACTTTTTGTTGTTGTTTTCATTATCACTACTGAAGAATATACCACTGATATCATTACATTGCATATAATTATTTCAATGATAAACAATATAATGAAGTAATTGTTTGCTTTTACGGCCCACATGCAGTCAATGTTCGAAATTCTCAAATAGAGCAATCATCGCATTGAGCACTTATCACCCGGTCATATTAGGATGAATTCATAAGAAATATGTGCAGCTTCTCACAATCAGCATGATCGCCAGCACGATTACGACAGTGATTTGCCATAGGTTCGGAAATTTTAGATCAGTTGGTCGCTTTTCACCGCAAACAAAAGAATCAAATTTAGAATATGTCTTCTTGTAAACATTTTAGTGCTGTTCTGATATTTATGAATTTGCAAAACATATAGAGCATATTCCTTATGAAGTTCCAATATCGCTTGTTGTCGAAGAAGCATTTAGCAAGTTCAAATAATGTTTTGTAACTCGGAATTTACGACATTTTAAAAATGTCAGCCAAATTTCTTAGTGAAATGACAAATGATTGCCTTGTTTTAGGAGATCAAATGGAAAAAGCAGTGTAACAGACGGTGAAGATGTGATGTAAAGCATGAATAACTTGTTGATTGATAGTATTAAGCAGCAGGGTAGCTTGAAAACAGTTTATTTTAGCTCAATTATTATTGTCTTAATATAAGATGGCAAACGATTTCATTTGAGCATTGTTCAGTCGAGAATTAATCGAATAAAAGATTGTCATGGAAACGATTTTAACGACGGCTTCCATCCTCGAAGAAAACTCCACCATCTGTGGAGCAATATTTGGGGCAGACACCCTTCTCGCCTTTAGGTCCTGGTTTTCCGGCTGGGCCTGTCTCTCCGGGTACGCCATCATTTCCTGCCTCTCCGTTTGGTCCACGAGCACCAATTGATCCTGCGGGTCCAGGTTGTCCGTCATCGCCAGCTCGACCTTCGTCACCGGGCTCACCTGCTGGTCCACGTTCACCTGAACAGAACAATCAGGTGATTTCGCGATGACCGATCGTGAATAGTTGAGAATGGAACAATTTCTTATAATCAAATCCGCATTTTTGGGTTATCAAAAACAATGATACCAATTGCTGTCTTTATTCTTTTGGTAAATTTTGTAGTGCGTTTCATTGTATTTGCCAAAACTTATTCGGTAAATTAAGTTATTGGAGCTAAAGTAACGATATTGGTAAAATGGTGTGGTCTGGAAATAAACTGGTATACGAATGAAGCAGCAACCTTTTGGTCCAGGAGGTCCGGGCTGAAGTGGTGAGCTTTTTGCATCACGTCCTGCGCTTCCGTCGGCACCAGGTTTGCCTGGGCTACCTGGCTCTCCAGAGGGTCCTTTTGGTCCAGGTGATCCTGGAGCGCCATCTTTACCATCTTTGCCTGGTCGTCCATCCTTTCCATCGTCACCGGCTGGTCCAGGAGGTCCTGCGGCACCAGGTGCTCCGGCTGGGCATGGTTTGCATGGTGGTGGAGTTTGTGGAACGCACGGTTGCGACATTTTACCGGCTTTTCCTGGGCCACCTGGTGCTCCGGCCTTTCCTGGCTTTCCGGCCTTACCGGGCACGCCTGGTGGGCCGGCTGGACCTGGCCGACAACAAGCTTGACACGAGTTGGATGCAGCACGTGCCGTACGATTGTGACTGGCTACTGGGATATTTTTCAGCTCTTGTACTTGAGTCCAAATATCTTTTGATGTCGACTGAAAGCGTTCTTGATTATATTTTTTCACTGAATATGGAATGAGAATAAGATGACGCTGATAAAATGATAATGATTCGATTTTGATTCATCTTTCCGATGCAATCATTATGAAATGCTAAAAACGTCCTTCGAGTTGAACCAAAATAGGAGGACACGTTTTTGAATGTTGATCTAATTTCTGATCAGTGAATCGCCCGATATCGAAAACTTTCTTCCATACTGATCCAAAATACTGATCAGTTTCGGCGAATACATAAACGAAAACTCTGACTAGATCGCTTACTGAATTCAAGCATTTGCCTAAATGGGCGAAGATATCAACATTTAAAATAAATGAGTGAAAAGATTTGATGTTACAATGACTGCTTACCTTACAGAAGGTGACTTCTTTGAACATTTGTTGCTGTACACTATAGACATGATTGTAGACCATAGGCAAAGTGATACATACCGACAGTACGGACACAATAGAGAACGATACGGCTGAATAACCGACGATTCGGTAAGCTTTCAAACGATTATCTATCTCCATTATGCTATTCACTTTACTTGTACCACCTCAGTGAAGCGACAACAATTGCATGATGATTGGAAGACTGCTTAAATATGGCCACGATTCCAATCCGAGTGGTTGAAACTGGTTCAGCTAATAATAACTGTAAATAGTACCAAAAACGAGTTGATTAATTTGATGGGTTTGTTTTTCGGCTTTAATTTATTGGTGTTAGTGACTATATGTGTTATTTTGACTGAAATCGAAAACACTCATCTAATCATGATATGTAATTGCAATCTGCAAACTGTTCCATGTCACATTCATTGTTTTGTATCACACAATTAGATCGCTGTTATTGTTTTCTAATTAATTTGCTATGACTGATGATAATAACACAAAAACGGTATTGTTTATAATTAACTGATAATAGCGGTAAATATTGGTCTACATATTCATTTGTTAGCGTTTTGTATGTTCATTACACTAGTTTTACTCAACGCTAATGAGTAAAGTTATTCGATCAATCGGTCACACTTATCAGCTGATCGGTTAATCAGTAAGTCGCTTCAACAAATTAAAATTAATCGGTCAATGCTCTCCATGTCGAAGAGCCGCCTGAATTGATGGAAAAGGTTTGGTTTGTGGCCTATTCAAAGCTTTATGATCGAGAGAGAGAAAGTAAATCGGCTTGGTAATTTTCACATCGAGTGAAGTGGCCTAATTTTCGCTTCAGGCTTAGACAACCCGTATGTGAATTGATTGCAAAAAACTGAGTATATGTGATGCGTATTTAGTTGACTTATGATGTGTGTACATGCTTGAATATTGACAACTTTATTGCTTTTTGCTGGAATCATTGAAATCAAAGGAAATATAGAACGGAGCAATGAAATGTCATATCAAAACGCTATTATAATCATACAACATATTAACAACATTTTCAATAAAATCACATAACATGCAAAATTCCAATAAGACACAATTGGAGAGAGAGGGAGATCATTCGTAGATCAAATTAAAAATTTGCCATATTTTCAAAATCATAAATTAACTGTTATTGGCCAACTGATGAGTGCCCTATTTACATGCGGTTTCAAATTTTCGAATATTTCTTCGAAAGTTTTTCAGTTTCAGACATATTCAGCATCACTTATGGCAAATTTCGAAAACGTCTGATTAATCATGCAATGTTTTAGTAGCACTACATAAGACTATTATTAATGTTGTTGTTAGCATTGGTAAGAGTATGATCAGGATTTCAAAACAATATAATGACAGTAACAGTAGCATTAATTAGGCTCGTTGAGCAAAATTCACTTAACTAAATTATTATATTGACAAATACTCAACGGTTTTATTCATCAAGATACAGTGTGAAACAAAAAGATATCACAAAACATGAAAGACCTTATCATTATCATTTATCAGCTTCACTGAGTCAGTGGGTATCAGCCTCCTTCATCATTGGAGCATTCATACCCCATCAAATCTGCATTTTATCAGATACTGTCGTAACAGATTTACATTTAATCAAACAATGGAATGACTTGGCAATGGAGAGCTTATAAAGCTCTTTCTTTGAGGAGAAACCTCTCGATTCGTGGCACAGCAGTGTCGTCCATCCAGTGATATTTCCGTCTTAAATACTCCATCTGAAGGTGCATATGCACTCCCCAATCCGGCATAACACGCTCAAGTTGCTGCAATTCTGTGCTCGACCGAACTGAATGGACGAGAATCCGTGCCACTTGTGAAGCCTCTTGTGAATCAATCGAGAACAACAACTTCCTTTCAGCCAACGACATCGCACGTATTTGTAACCAAAACATCTCACGTAACTTTTCGTTGTAGTGCAACGTGTATTCATTCTGGAAACTTCATAATATAACTCTTGCTTATTGTTAGATGGAATGGATGAATTTCACAAATTCGGAAGTTCAGCACGATTCTGTCAGCATTTGAACTTAAAAACTCAATGGAAGAAGTAATATCCACATACATACTTCATACAATATCTTCTGTGATTGAAACTTTACTGCTTAACTGATCACTTAACTAAGAATGTTAGTGTTGGAATAAATTTCCGATTCGGCAAAATGAATCGTGAGAGGTGATGACGAAAATAAAACAGATGATTCGAGTTGGTAAAATGAATGGTAAGAAAATAACGCGTGTAACCTGTAGAAGAGCAGTGTAGACAGCAGCATTTTTGGTGCTGATGATCAGCTTAATGGCCCTTCTTAGAATTTCCTCGTCGCGTACACAGGTGGCCAATTGCACAGCGATAGTCCACCTGCCATTGAAATGCTTCAGACCGTTCGCAACCAAATCCAGCTCTCGAGAACCAGCCGACGTGAACAAATAATGACAAATGGCCGTCATTTGGAAGTAATGATCTTCATCGGTCAAGTCCGCATACATTAACCACTTCTCAATCTGGAATTCAATGTTGTTCTGAGAGCTACTCGTTGAAAAGTAATTAGCATAAGCTTTCAGATTGCTTTTGATTATTTTCTGAACTTGTAAATAATCGGGTCCTATATAAGGACAGTTTGTTACGGTCAGTCATCTCATTATTGGAAGATACTGGTGTGTACTAGTGAGTAAAGTGTGTAAAATACTAGTGAGAATCTTTAATTTAGATCAGCGGTTCTCATAGGGTATGAAATTACCCATTTTGGGTAATTCGAAGGTAATGGACGGGGTCGGGGAATTATTATTTCGTGCAGTTGTTATTTTATGATAGAACGCCATTGTGATGATGCTTTTTAACTCGAATATGTAAATACACTTAGTTGATGGTGGCACTCTACATTCTCCTATTTGCTGAGTTTCATTAGCTCATCCGGGCCTAACAGGGTTTTCATTCGTTCTAGCAGGTTTTTCATTCTTTTTCTTGCTGTTACAATCGCTCTCATAGCTTTTATCACCAAAAGCGTTCTCTTCTGCTAATTTCTCATTCATTTCAGTCAACAATAAAAGTCAAATTCTCATTCTATCAAATANACTCTATAATTCATCAATAGACTGTCGAACAATTGCTGTATTGTTGATTTCGCTGTCAACACTCGTCAATGTATTCAGTAAATAGTACATGCTACAGAATGAGAAATTGATTCGAACGGTGAAATGAAATGAGACGAAGTGAATGAGAAAACCCATCAAGAGAATGGTATTCGCATGAAATAGCTATGAGAGTGAATACAACACGTCTGAAAAGAATGAGAATCTATCTAAATCAGTTTGAAGTGAGCGTATCATAATCAACAGCTTTTCATGCAATCATAATCGATCTCATGAACAGTAAGAACGTCAGGAACAAACGTAAAACCGTTTGTTCCTGACGTTATGTGTAGAAATAGTAAGTTCCTGTATCAGGAGGGGGGAGGGGGGCAACAGCGGTCTGCTAGATCGTCAAAAAAGGTAATGGAGTACCCGAACGTGAGAATCACTGATTTACATTGTGGTCTTGTCTCTAATGGTCTGATAAATATCAAAAACGTTCAGATCAATGGCTATTTTGCCAGGGGATTTGTATTACTTTTTCATCTTGTTCACAAGACGAAAGATTTGCAACACATCTGAGCTGATAGAGTTGTGCTAGGCGATTTGCATCGATCAGCCAGATCGCAGCCAGTTCAGGATTTGAGCGAGATTCTTCCAAGATTAGGTCGATTTGAGCAATCACCTGGAATTTTTATCATTACTGATGATATGAATGTCTCATATATGTGTGATACGATGTGAGACCTTGATATATTAGAAAAGAATGCCATTATCATGTAAAAACTACTTGTAATTTACGATATTGACTTGTTGGAAATACGGACGGAACTGTGAGAGCATAATTTTACAGTGTATTCAGGGTGAGACAATATTAACTGAGTTCATTGTGCTGGTTTAGATGTTTGCTGAATTGAAAGAAGTTAATTTGAGAAAGTAAAACATGCGAAATGATGAAATCACAAACATCTCTTAAGTATAAGAGGATGAGTGGATTGATGCGAGATCCTCGGAACATGTCAATGAAACGATACAACGCATCTAAGCCAATCATCAACACACCCATATCGTTCTCTTTTGATAAATAACTGAAATTTACGATGCTCATTGAGAGTATTGTCGAGTTTTGGAACGATTTGAGAATTTGTATCGAAGAATTACTTCAATTAATGTGTGAAGAATATCGGAGAGATCTCAAAAAATTCAGTTTCATCCAGGCATTTCGCCTCGTTTTCATCTTTATTCACAGAGATCAATTTTGTTCAAGTTTAAGGTGAAATGAAAACAAAACATCGCTTGCGTAAGAAACTCACCCCAATATATACAAATAAATTTCTGGTACTCCCGACTGCTTCAAATAGAATTCTGCATCGATGAGCAATTGCATTCGAGATTTAGTGGGTATCCGACGATGGTGATTATGTAACTGAAAAAAATACTTGTGAAAGTTTATTTCTATACTCTAGCGAATCAGTACTTTCATACAAGCTCAAGGCAGTGATGATCTTTGCTATTGGATATGTTAGCATGTTAACAAGAGATATCAACTGAGAGCGATTCACGCACAATTTTAGAGCAGTACGATAAAAAAAAGATAAAATACCCACATAGTAGTGAGAAAATTGCCATGTATTTTTGCGGTTTTGCACTTTTTGTGAATATGAATTCATGCGGACGGATGTCGTTGGGAGGTAAATTTTCAAAAAAACTAGCAGCGTTATTTAAATGATAACGGAGAACTCTTAGCCGGTTTTAATAACATAAGGAAATGACCACAAGTAGACGAGATAACGAAATGATACGTGAACAATGGTAACGAACCATCCGAGCGAGCATTTGCCAATTGCTAATGTCATAATTCACCCGGAACGGATATCTCCAATCTGGATTGGCCAGTATTGGCATCGATGGCTGAAGTTCAATATCAACGAATGTCATCGTTTCGTTGTGCAACCAAAATTGCCTCGTCAGTTCACCTTAAATATTCCTCTTACTCCATTTTGATCCACTTCAACGGAATACGCGATCAAACTGAATTCAGCCATCTGGCGAGGTACAGGAAGTAAAATGTTTCGAGAGAATTGAAAATTCCGGCCAAATGATGGATTCTAGGATTAAAAAGGATTCAGCAGAAGAAAGCAGATGCTCTGTGATACTACTCTGGCTAAATTTCAGTTCAGATACATCAGTTGTCGATATTCTAGGGGTGTGCAAGAGTCAGCTCGGTAATACTGCATAGGAACTACAATACATAAGGAGTATTAGAGCAACGGTTATAGAATAAGTTCACATTAATGATTATTGTAGAGCAATTGATAAGTTTCAGCTTTAATGAGGTTCTATAGCTTGATTTGTCAAGGTTCATTTTGACTGTCCGATAAATACGCTGATTAAGAGGAATGTTGTAACCTGCGCTATCAGATGCAACACCGAAGCGATAACTGAACGGTATTGACCACAATTGTTTGTCGTGTTGCGATCGACGATATTTTCTCAGTTTTTGATGGTTCAGCGAGGCGAATACATCCAAAAATCGACCTTCCTGAATGAGACTTACATGAGATGGATTTTTTGGATCGAAAAGCTGTTAGAAAGAGCAGTTCAGATTGTCTATGAAAATTTATTCTCTCATTTTTGATCAACAGATCAATATGATTAATGGGCGCGTTCCCTCGTTATTTGAAGCACTTATTGATTGGATATACCGTATAAACGATATTTACCCATGATTAATACGGAGAATGTAGAAGCCCTTGCTAGTCCTTTCATAAGCTTAATCATCATTGAAATCTGTATGTATACGATGAGAAAACAACGGTCAATGTGTTTTTTCAAATAATGTAGCGATAAGAAATTGATATTCGGTTCAATTTCGTCCAGTTATAAAATAGTGACATTCCCAATGGAATCGTTATAAAGAGAATCACGGTGGTTTATCCAGGAAATTTGATTCAGTTCAGGAAAACACAGATTCACGAAGTGAATTGACTGATGCGATAATGGAGTACGGCGATAATTGCTTCAGTCATCATGAAATTACATTATGTTCCAGTGATGAGAACACGTGCATGTGTTTGGATATTCAAAGATCAAGAAAGAGTGCATACTGCGTTGTGTTTACGATATTGAAGACGTGGGAGTTGGACGTGCTTGAGACGTGACGAACGTTGCTTAGCTTTACGCCTCCGATCCTTCCTCTTCCGAATATTCCTTAGGATTTCCTCAGATTTCGAAGGGGCACGATCAAAATCATCCTGAGGCGTTGGAAATACCGGCGTGAAACCCTCGAAGAGAGACTCGTCAAATGGGGTCGATTCACCCTCTGAAATTCAAGTAAGCTCATTCAAACAAATCTTCCACTGGGATGTCTTCAACACATTGGGGCTAATACTGTTCTGGTAAACTGATGTGAAAAAAAAGTCGAAACTCACTAGTCTCTGAGCTAACTCAACGGGTAAAGTATCAGACCAGAAATAGGTGTCGAGAGGGTCCGCATGCCACTTCTGATTAATGAATGCTTTCTCATTAAAACTGATAGGTATGTTCAAATCATTGATGGAATCAGTGATATGACAGCTGACAAACCGTTCTCTTTTCGCAATCTCCGAATAGTTTTCGAGTAATCAGTGTGAAAGATTTTCGTTGTGGACGTTCGCTGGGAACGTTTTGAGCGTTGTCTTCGATTCTCAGAGGAATGCTTCACATCAGCTGTTGTTGAATTATGTGCATACGTATCCACATCACTCAAATAAATCACATAGCGATTCTGATCGGACGTCCGTTGAGTGACACGCAAACTATCGTCGTTGTAATTGCGACTGAAATCCGACTGCTCGCATCTATTCGATTTTGTCAACAATTTTAACTTTTTGCTTATCAACTCAAAAAAGGTTCTTTAAAAGTAGGCAGTGAATTCGAAAGACCAATGAATTTTCTTGCTTTACTCATTGTTAGCATCTAAACAATTCATAATTAGTTTCACGATCGAATTACTGAAACAATGATCAAAAATTCAAATCAATGGTTAATGACGATGTCAAGCTACCCATTACCTTATAATAACTTCAGGCATTCCAGCATTGACCAGCCACGGCTCGATAACATCCTCTAGGCGTTCAATCTCAATTCCATGATCGGCGTAAGCAGGCATCGAATTCCATAGAGCATCACGACCAACAGCTTTGAACGCGTTCTTTTTCAAGTACCTTAAACCCGAGCAAAATTAATCTTACTTATTTAATGAGTATACATATATGTATACGATGATAATATATACATGTACGTATGTGATGATAATACATAGAGTAATGTATAAAAGATAATGATAAGTGATGCATAATAATGAACTGGATCTGTGATAGAGACATAATATTCCATGCGATAATCAAGAAATAATAGTTACGAACTTGCGAACGCCATCGTGGAAGTCGTTTTCAGAGACGAGGTCGCGGATCATTTTGATGATGACACTTCCTTTCGTATACAAATGAAAACGGTCGAATGCGTTCTCGATTTCCGCTTCAGTTCGCATTGCTCTCACCAGTGGGAATTTCTCATCGGATGTCTGAGACAGTTAGCTGTTAGGTTCATCCGTACAATCTAATTGTAAGTCTCATGCCTTTGGAGAAGTTTATCTTTATTGTAATTGTACAATAATTTGTTATCAATTGACTCATCAACCGATGTCAGTTTCGATTGATTGTTGCAGGTGATAATTGCTTCGAATTAAACGAATGAGGTATGGTTATTCAAATGATTATGGGCTGACCGAGCATCCAGGTAAAGGGCGATTGATCTCTGTAGGCAACAAATGTTGTGCTTCTGAAATTGATGAAGTGAGGACTGATTCAGGCAATGAACAAACCTGTTTCGTAAGCAACTGCGCCAAATGTAAATAGTATTCATTGACGGTGAGGTAAGGATGTTCAGTTTCCAAGAAATCGCTAACATAGAACGATGCAAAACCCTCATTCAGCCATATCTCTGACCAATCGTTCATTGTTACTAGATTACCAAACCTAAAAATCAACATCAACGCATCTCACTTGAAACTATCTAGATCAGCGGTTCTCATAGGGGTGAAATTACCCATTTTGGGTAATTTGGAGGTGTCAAGGGATAATGGAGAGGGTCGGGAAATTAGCATTTCGTGCAATTGTTATGTTATGATAGAAAGCCATTGCGATGGTGTTTTTTAACTCGGATAAATGCGCTTAGTTGATGGCAACACTCTTCATTCTCCTATTTTCTGTTTGTATCATTAGATCGTCCGGGACTAACAGGGTTTTCATTCGTTTTAACAGGGTTTTCATTCTTTTCCGTGCTGTTACAATCGCTCTCATAGCTTTTATCACCAAAGTTGTTCTCTTCTGCTAATTTCTCATTCATTTCACTCAACAGTTAAAGTCAAATTCTCATTCTATCAAATACGCTCTATAATTCATCATTTAATTGTCGAACGTTGTTGAACAATAATATTCGATTGTTGTGTTGTTGATTTCGGTTGTCAACAATCGTCAACGTACCCAGTAAATAGTATATACTACAGAATGAGAAGTTCATTTGAACGGTGAAGTGAATTGAGACAAAGTGAATGAGAAAAACTCATCAAGAGAATGATAGTCGCATGTGATAGCTATGAGAGTGAGTACAACACGTCTGAAAAGAATGAGAATTCATCTAAAGCAATCTGAAGTGAACGTGTCATAGACAATAGCTTTTCATGCAATCATAGTCAACTGCAATAATGAGCAACGCAACGGTCTCGGACAGTGGTTCTCATAGGAAGTGAAATTATCGTTTTGGGTAATTTGGGGGTGTCGGAAAATTAGTATTTCGTGTAGTTGTTAGTTATGAGAGAACGTAAATATAAAGATAGAAATACTTCTGGATATTATGACGGGATTTCTGAATACTAGACATTTTCTAAAGGATAGAACAGGAATTTTCGGATAATGATAGAGTAATTTCTCAGCTAGTTAAGTTCTCAAAACAGAAAGTACTAACCACTGATGTGCTATCTCATGAGTGATAATTTTTTCGATTGCATATTGCTCAGCCAATAGATCAACAGTCATATTCGCGTTATCTGAAATGAACCGAAAAGCATGAAAGGAACAATCAAGCATTGCTAGTCTCGTTATTTCAAAAAATAATGAACATAGCAATTAATAAAGTGCGTTCATCTCATAATGCATCAAACTGTTGGGAGTACTCCGATTTGAATTGACTTCTTCAGTACAATTTGCACTAACCTTCAAGAAATGAGTCGAGTAGAATCATATTGTTATGAAAAACAACTAGACCCCAATTTTCCATTCCACCAACTGGAAATGAGCGTGCAGCGACAAAATCGAGCTTCGAGAACGGGTATTCTATCTGAAACAGAAAAATTAAATCAACAGACTAGAATAGCAGATGTTGGTGATATTAGAATTAACGGGATGCTCAGATTCATCCCGCGATTTGAGGATCGGACGTAAAGATTCACAAATAGCTGTGGGATCAGGGAACTGAGAATGTGAAAAGGCGATACTCTGAAAGAACAACAACAGAAATGATCACACCCCGAACTCCTCCTCATGACGATCGAACATGACCGGTGAGAAATTGGCCGCAAATCGTGCGTAGAGAAAATCTTCAGGAAGTGTCCAGATGGTCAACGGTATGCCGCGATCTGTGCTCATTTCAAGACGAACAAATGGTCCTGAAGCAGAGTTTCTTTAGAATTTCAATTGCAGCGATTGATAAAACGATGGATTCAGCATGTTAATATGTGTTGTTTAAAAGAACATTTCAACTTATTAATCCCCTTAAACCTATCCGGGTGACTTCAGAAATCTGGTAGAGTTCGTTTTGGTTTCTTTTTAGGTGCAACGAATAAGTTTATGAAATGAAAAAGAGATAGTTGAATGAATAATGCTTAAATTTGAACTGTTCAATAGGTTTCTTTGATGAAATAAGGCATTTCTGAGAAGCGATGTTTTGCGCATGATAATCTATGGAGTGATAAGTGAAGGTTCGATGTGATAACGTCTTAGAATGACAGAATGCACTGACCGACTGCAAAGGCTAGTAAATATACAGACATTGGAGGTGTTTCATGGAAACGAGTGAGAACGACATTATTGAAATGCTGCTTATCCGAGTTACGATACGGAGCTGCGTTCGATAGGACGGTGAGCGAGCGTGGATGTTGCACGGTTACGTTGAATGTGGCCTGCAATATGTGAATGCTTCAGGTCACTCTCATAAGTTAGTGATGCATCTAATTCAGAGCGAACTCAAGACGGTTTTAATTATGCGTTGATATTTCTTGTTACTCATCCACAGTTGAGAGAATGTTAAATGAAAAGATTAGTCATGGAACAAACGATTAAAGTATTGCTGATTTTTCATGATTTACAGTCAGATGTCTATATGTATGCATCGTAATGAGACGGTAAATAAATACCTTGATGTGAGGTTCATCCCAGCACGGAATGAACGAACGTGCGAGTGTAGGTTCAAATTTTGTGGTGAAACTTATTATCGGATTGCGAGATCGTCGTCCTTGCTTTGGCTTACGTAGTGGTTCTTTCTGAAAAGGAGACTCTTGGGGGTTCTTTCAAATTCGTGTCAGATGTGAGCAAAGACTACATAATCACATACGTACCAAAACTGTATTTCGTCACTCAATAAATTAGTAAAGAATATAAAATATGGAAGAGAATAAATAACTTTTGACATTCATTTTCAATGCGAAATAAACTTAGATCAACTGTCGAAATGATCTTTTGAATTCTGATAAATGATCGCTTTTGATTTAATTAACGAAGATTTATTCACGATCTAGCACATCAACGATGCCCTAAGGAGTAATCGGAACGCTCCACAAACCTCAGTAAGTGTACTTCGATAGCAATGTAAACCGCCATCGTCATCCTCACATATTCTTGTAACAAACTGAATTTCGAGTGTACACCTAAATTCGAGATTTATTTGACGGGATCATTTATTCAAACAGTGATGTATCACTGAAATCGCAATCAATTTCATGAAAGCCAACGTTGACTGATGCCGTTTTATGGGTATATTTATTACGCATATCACATTCCTAAGACATATTAATTCATGCATATTATCCTTATTGATTGACATCATCGTTACTATCGTATACGGCAGATAAAATTTCATGTGGACGGAAATGGGATCGTAATAGTCAATGCGAGTGGAAAGGGCATATGTTATGAAAGATTGTTTCTGTTATAAAAGATTTCATTACGAAATGCATAGTACGTACCATCCAGTATGAAGACGTTCTTTCAATAGTAAATGTACAGTTTTTGTTCTAATATTCCGGCGTACAGATTTTATCAGCACTGCTCTTCCTGAAATTCAAAAAAAANAAAAAAAACAATGCATTTCCTCACACTGAATTCCCATTGCTGCAATAATTAAACCGTAGAATTTTGACACTTTCATTTGTGAGTGCGTTTTGTTTCCAAGTTGCTAAACGATTGCTAATTTGTGTCGCAATTAAAGTTTCATGCTGAGTTGACCGAGAAAATGTTTGTAAGTGTTTAATGGAAAATACTTGCAATTAATGCTTGCAATTAATGACTACAAATGTACATAAAACAACAATGGCGCACAGAATTGTTAGCAAGATTCTGTCTCTATTGAGAAAAAGTGGAATTGTTGAAATTTGAAGTTAACACTACGGATGCTTTCATTCAAATGGTTTTTGTCAGTTGGGTAATTATCGGAATCCGTATGCATGATTCTAGAGAACTGATAGCGAAAACATGACGATAGTAATATGGAATTATTGAGGAATTACTGGCCAGACATATTGTACTAGCAGAATAGTAATCATTGATCGATGGGTGATCAAACATCGATAAGTTAAGGATTTTGCAAGTGAATTAATTTGTGAACCATGTTGATGTATTCTGAGTCGATCGATATGAACGTTTTGGCTGGAATGAAAGACGATTTCATCAGTGGGCGTTGTCGAGTTGCCGAATGATTCGAGTAGTACTGAGATATTGCCCACAATCCGTTCTTCGCTCGAAAACGTCATAAAGTCCAACTGAAGCGCCAAAATCTCATGTTAAAATTATTTTGAGATTGCTGATGAGAGAAACGAATAGATCAGTGGTTCTCATAGGAGATGAAATTACCCATTTTGGGTAATTTGGAGGTGCCAAGGGGTAACGGAGGAGTCGGGAAATTAGTATTTAGTGCAATTGTCATGCTATGATAGAACGCCATTGTGATGGTGTTTTTTATCTCGGATATGTAAATGCGGTTACTTGATGGCAACATTGAAATTACATCCATTTGTCTTTAAATGCCGTTTTAACGGGGTTTTCATTCTTTTCCGAGCTGTTACAATCGCTCTCATAGCTTTTATCACCGAAAGTG